CTCTAGAGCCTCTGGCTGGGGCAGCCCTGTGGCTCCCAGCCCTGCTTGGCCAGGGTCCTGCAGCCATCCCTGCACTGAGCTGGGCTGTCCTCAGCCCTGCCACCTTTCCCGTGAGTTGTTTGGATACCCCAGGCTCTCTGGGAGAGCCTGGCAGCTCCTGTTGCTCACGTTAAATGTGAGGTGCCCCCGTGTGCCATGGGCTGTGGTGTGACACCAGCAGTGCCCTCAGCTGCCCGTGCAATGCCCGGGGCATCTGCCTGGCTCTGGGGATGGGGCCCTTGTGTGTCCTTCAGCATCCATGGTTTTGTTTGGCATTCCCCAGTCTTGGGGGATGCCACCTGAGTGGGATTTGCATGCCTGTGTCCTTGGGGAGGGGGTGCCCAGCAGGGGTGGTGGCAGCCTGGATAAATGGCTTGGAAGTGTCTGGATGGAGGTGGGCACACACGTGCCTATCCTAGTGTTGGGGAGGAGGGAGTGTGTGCATACACATGGGGATAGGGAGACAGTTTGCTCCTGGCCAAGCCCATCCTGAGGCTCAGGGACTGGGGAGCTCAGCTGTTGGGCAGAAAGTGAGAAGATCAGAGCTGGGCAGGCTGGAGGATTGGGAATACCCTCCTGGCCCATGAGGTGCGTGCTGTGACACCCAGCGAGCTGTGGGGCCACTGTGGTGGAGACCAAGGCTTGGCTGCTGGGAGGGCTGGAGGAGGAGGTGTCTCCTTGGGTTTTGGGGGTTCTGGGGGCTGTGTAGGGCACAGACATGATCCAGGCCCACTCTCATCCACACCAGATGGACCCCAGCCCTGCACAGATCTTAAGGACACGTCAGGCTCAGCAGGACCTGGTGCCAGCAGATGGCATGAGGAAAATCCACTTCCTGGCCAAATACCTCATTGATTTTCAATCCTTCTCATTGCGACACCAGAAACTCACTGTCTTACCCCAAAACAGCCCAGTCCCTTCCCAAGCCACCAACACTCCTTTCTGCAGCATCTCTTCTGTCACTGGGCTCCGGGGGTGAAGTCAGTGGCTCCTGTCCTTGACGTGGGGCTCCTGGTGGTTGGCAGGGCAGGGGCAGGCAGAGGGTGTCACCTAACCAGGCAGGTTTGGCTCTGTAACACAGTCACATCCCAGCGTCCTTATTCCCTATGGAATGGGGCAGAAGACTGTGCTCTACTCGGTGTCCCTGGGGCACATCTCAGCTGTCAGAGGGGTGCTGTGCCCACCACCTGCACCCACATGGACCCACGAGAGCCCTGTGCTGGGGCAGGGTCAGGGTGATGGGTGCTGTGCCAGGAGCCCTGCCCGGGCTCAGCGTGCCGGGTGCTGTGCCTGGGCTTGATGTGGCAGGTGCCACGCTGGGTGCTGTGCCTGGGCTTGCTGCTGGGGAAACACGCAGCAGCAGCAGCAGGGCTGGTTTCTGGGTGCCTGCAGCCCACGCCAGCCCACCTGCCCGGGAGGGCATCGTGCCAGCCCAGCCTTCACTGAGCTCCCCTGGTCTGGGGATTTGCCTGTGGTTGATTGGCACCCAGCCGTGTCCCCCCCTCCCCGGGGGGGTGCATGCCCAGGAATGTGCACACCTGCTCCAGGAGCTCAGCTCTCATGGAGACACACACGGACATGAACACAGACACACGGACCTGCTGCAGCGTCCCACCACCTCACCCCCAGTGCCCCAGCTAACAGTGCCCATGGGCACGTTTGCTGGGTGGGCTGGGCACCTCCCTGCTGCCTGGGGGTGTGCCTGTGGGCACTGGGGCTCCTTGGGGGGATGTTATGGGGGACCAGCTTTCCCCCACCCCCGAGCTTTTCCCCTGCTGGGATGCTGCTATGGCTCACCCAGGATTTCCCTCCCGGAGCTTTTCAGCTGACCTTGAATGCATTCCCAGCTCCAGTTCCTCAGTGTCCAGGAGCTCTGGACGCTGGGACTGCTTTGGGTGGCCCTTGGGGGTCCACCACTGCAGACCCTTCATTAACCTTTTGTGCCCCGTGCTGCTGGTGGATGGGATGTACCCCAAAGATTCCCCAGGAGAAGGTGGACAGGCAGCCTGGAAGGCACAGCAATGCCAGGCAGGCAGGTGCCAGGGTCACTTTGGCATCACCTCCAGCCCATCCTCATGCCATGGGGACACCAAAACTGGCCTTGGTTCACTAGGACATGTCCCCAGAGCCTGAAGGGTGGGGTGTCACCCCAGCACCTCACTCACCCACTTGTCTCTTGTCCCCCCAGCCTGGCAAGGACAGTGGCAGTGCCAGCAGGTCCCCGCCGGCTGCCCAGCACTCCCGGGGGCAGAGCTTCGTGCAGAGCCATTTCCAGGCACAGTACAGGTGAGTGGAGGGCTGGATCCTGCCCCACTGTGAGCCCTGTGAGGGAAGAGATGAGACAAGGAGGTGTTCCATCCATCCATCCATCCATCCATCCATCCATCCATCCATCCCACCCAGTCCAGGCACCAGAGATGTTTCTTCTGTGGGCAGAAAGTGTCCAAGGCCAGGTTGGACAGGGCTTAGAGCAACCTGGTCTAGTGAAAGGTGTCTCTGCAAGGGGGGCAGGTGGAATGGTCTTTGAAGGTCCCTCACAACCCAAACCATTCTGTGGTTCTGTCACAGGGCTCAGGATTAGGGTTTTCCCAAGCCTGTCCCAGCAGTCCAGAATAACAGCGTCCCTGCATGGGACATCCCACATGTTCATCTCTCTGGGACTCACAGGATGCTTGGAGGGCCAGCATCTGGCCACCCTGTGCCATGGCAGTGCAGGCATGAGGGGATGCATCTGGCATCACAAGCCCTTCCTCCTCTCTCAATTAATCCCTTGGCCTATATATGAAAAAAAGGCACTTTAATTATCCACCCTTCCCTGTGCCAGAGCTGTCTGTGTGCAAAGGGATTTATTAATTTGTGTGGCTGCTTCCTGGGGAGCTCAGTGTCTCTTCAAGGTGACAAATAACAAGCATTCAGTATTTCGATTTGGGGTTTTATTTTATTTTCCCCCTTTTTTGTTGAATATAAAGGCAGGAGAAAAAGAAAAAAAAGTAATAAAAAAACAGAATTAAAAAGAAATCGGTGGTAAGGTGATGGTTGGCATTAAAGGTTCGCTTAAGCCAGTCTCCAGTGGGAGATGGGATGGTCCCTGCTGGCAGGGGGACCTGCTCCCCCACAGTGGTCCTGTGACCCCCCAGCAGAGCAGATGAGTTCTCACTGTCCCCAGGGCTCCCCTGGAGCTGGTGGTTGTTCCAGGCAGGGCCTGGGTGAGCAGAGCTGGTGGTCCCAGGGCTGTGGTCACATCCTGGGGCTTGTCACAGGCAGATGTCCTGCTGCCCATCACTGCTCCTCCCTGCAGCCCAGCCACAGCCCTGCTTATCAACAGGGCTCCTGTTCCCTCCCAGCACCCCAAGGTGTTATCCCTGCTTAACCCAGGCCATCTGGGGTCAACTCAAAGCCCCCAGGAGCCAGAAGCCACCCCAGACTCTGCCAGCCCTTGGGAGAGGGAGCAGGATGTGGGGGAGTTTTGGAGCTACATACATGAGAGTGGGAGATCCCCCAGCCCTGGCATTTCTCTGACTTCTCTAGCACCAGTTACTGTGGGTGCTCTTGTTAGGTTTCAGAGTGAGCAGCCCATGGGGTTGGGCAGGTGGGTACAGGCTGTGGTGCCTCACCCTGGCAGGAGGTTCATGCCAATCCAGTGTGATGCTGGGACCACCCAAGCTCCAGGGGATGCAGTACCCAGGGTGCAGAAGCAGTGACAGGGCGCTGCAGCCCCAGGGTGGGGACTCTGGGGGGGGCCATGCCTGCTCTGGTGATGCTCCCCATCCATGTTTCACAGGTCCTCCCTGACGTGCCCTCACTGCCTGAAGCAGAGCAACACCTTCGACCCCTTCCTGTGCATCTCCCTGCCCATCCCCCTGCGCCA